CCGGGGGTGCCCGGCCGGGGTGCCGGGCCCCCAGCCAGGCCCGTGGCGTCCCAGATGGACCCTGTGTGACCGTTCCCTCGGGGACGCCTGTACATAGGCCAGCTCAGCATCTCGGGCACTGCGGGCCAGCCCGAGACTCCTCTGTCGTCTCCCTGCGGCTTCCCTATAAACCCGGTCTCGTTTTTTAACTGTGGGGGTCCCGCGTGTTCTGTTTGAGGGACCCTGCTTTCCCGTCACTGGCTAGGCGGTGGCCTCGGCAAGGCGCTGGGAGTTCAGGCCCCACCTTCCCTCCCCGTGTCAGGTTCCTGCCGACGAGGCACCGGGGACTCGGTTTCCCCAAAGGGAAATTTCTGCCAGCTCCCAACCAACCGCAGGGAGCCAGAGCCCGGCCGGAGGCGGCCCCAGCACTCGGCTGTGTCCTAGGGTCACGGTCGCGGGGTAGCTGTGGGGCACCACGTCAAGCACATGCCTCCTCTCCAGCAGCCACGCCCAATGTCCACGGAATCCATGTCTCCCCGGGCCCTCCCTCCCCTGCAACGTCCCCTGCTTTCCCTTATTCGCACCTATTTTGCAGAGCAGAAACGCGGTTCAGGGGAACTGGGATCTGAGCTTGGGTCTCCCCTGACCCTGCTCTTTTTGCCCGGGCCCCCCCCCAACCACCCCCCCCCCCCCCCGCAGCCACGCCCAATGTCCACGGAATCCATGTCTCCCCGGGCCTCCCTCCCCTGCAACGTCCCCTGCTTTCCCTTATTTGCACCTATTTTGCAGAGCAGAAACGCGGTTCAGGGGAACTGGGATCTGAGCTTGGGTCTCCCCTGACCCTGCTCTTTTTGCCCAGGGCATGCTGAAAGGTCTGGTGGAGACCTCAGTCTGAGGGGGTGTCCTGAGACTGACACCCCATGGCTGACTGTGGAATTGCAAGCATCACCCCTCAGTCCAGAAAGGCAGGGGAAATCCCACAGTCCAGATCCATTGGGACAGATTTGGAACATGCAACGTTTTTTAAAAGAGGATAAAGAGGGACCAGCAGTTGCCGTAATGCCTATGTCGCTGGACTCCCATGTAGTCGACCGCGGTTCAAGTCCCAGACCTGGTGGCTTAAACTCACGCCAGGTGCGTGTGCGTGCGTGTCCAAGATCCTGAGAGGAGAATGGAGGAGAAGGGATTGTGGCGTGGCCATCCCCCCCGGGGGGTGATTTCTCGCTTTCTGTCTCTCTCTCTGTCTTTCTGGTGAGCGCACGCGCCCTGTAGCAAAAACCTCTCAAAAAATAAAAATAAAAAAGAAGGAGGGTAAAGAGCCCATTACTGTATGACCCAGACATCCCACTGCTAGGAATGTGCCCGAAAGAATAGAAAAGGGTGTTTGAGAAGCAAGCAAAAAACAACCAAAAGGCACGGCCCCCGCTCACTGTGGGTAGTGGTCATGCGGGAGGCCAGCAGCCCACAGCAGGTTCAGGTCCTGGGTCAGCCTGAAAACCCACCAGGTGTGCACGCAGGGCACCCAGGATCCCATGGGGACCCCCACCTGTGCACTTGCGCCTGCTAGTCATCGTCTGAAGGAAAAGCACCCATGTCGTGTTCGCGGCAACGATTCACGCTTGCCAGAAGGTGTCCAAGATGATTGGGGGGGACACACGTGTGGTCCGGCCATGCCATGGAATGTTACTTGGCCGTGAAAAGGAAGGACACGCAC